CACATCTCATTAACTTAAATTCAAACTTTAATTGCTGTCGAACTTCTTCTTCGGAACCCGGAACATTCAAATTGTAGTTTTTCTATAGTTCTTCTTCGAAATGGAACCAATTGATAAACAGCAAACTTCAAACTGGTCCTAACAGTATGATAAAGCAACATTCTCCGGCAGAGTTTCAATGCTTACTTAATCAAATTTTGTTATTTTTAAATGTAACTCCCTTCAGTTTTGAAACTTGAGACGAAATAATTTGGAATACTGTATGTGTAAAAAAATATATTGAAGATCGTATATGCTGATCATCTCTATATAACGTATATCAGAGCGAAAATGCCATTATATGGAGTATTGCATTAAAGAACGAAATGGTTGATAATGGCAACGTTCGCGCCGTTTCCTTTCAATTTCTTGGCATCCGCAAAATGACGCGCCAATATGTCGGATAATAACGTTATTATCGGCACGGTAAAGCTAAAAGCGATTTACGCAAGAAATCGCTTCAGAAGAATCCTTGGGTACTCGAAATTTGTTCGATATCCATTACTGCAAGTGGTGCGAGTACTTGGACACGCGCGCAGTACAAATTACTTCAGCAATCGCTCCGGGTGTTTATAGTCATTGGCACGTAAGTGCCATACACGTGCCCGATCCGCTACGCGTACGTGTAAGCACATGTATGTACATGGTAAATGCGTACATGTACTTGCGGCAGTTGCCGTTAGTACTCGCAAGTTGCGCAAGCAAAAACTGTAATGCCTTTTAGTTTTCCTCTCCACCACCTAGACGTTTCACCTCGCAATATTCTTTATCAGAATTAGAAATTGCCTTCACCGTTAGAAAGTCCAACAAAATATTACGTATTTGTTGTTCCACATTGCATCATTCATAAGCTTCATTTATGTTACATAGAAATCTGTACTATTAGCCAAAAAGTTATATCAAATTTTACTAGATATCAGTAAGCTACTTTGTGGTGGAAGAATAGAAGTCAAATGAATGATATTAGTGCTGATAACACTGCTTGCGAGTATTATGATAACGATGCTTATATTATCTATCTTTCCTTTTGACGTGTATGCTTTGTGCGAATAAAGATTACTTCACATTTTCTCGGAATATATGCAATGCAAGTTCAAGAACGCAAAGTTCAAGTGCATGATAAGAAATATTTATCAAAGATAAGTCCATGTATTCATATTTTTATTGAAACTATAATTATACAATTATTTAAATCTTATTCTGCATTTCTTCTGCATTTTTTATAATATAATGGTCATTAGTTAGTATATTACATTTTTTTCATTATTACAAATGAAGTATTAGATAATTAGTCAAAATCTTTTTGTTTATATTATAATTCTTACTATGAGCACAAATTTATTTTTAAAAATTTTGATTATTTTGTTGCATCATCTGCGCAATGTCATTTTCTTCATTTTATTGATCGTAAATTTATTTGTGTAAACACCTACAACGTGCGCAAATATACAAATCAATCTTTAATAATAATTTAATCGAATGTCGCGTCCGCCTCTTGCGCACAAACGAACCTTGTTTGTCTGGTTGTTGTCATTATGCGCAACCTAATTACCGGCCAATGATTTCACGGAACGCCATTCGAAATCCAATTGACGAAATACCCGTGCGATTGGCGATTCACCGACGAATTAAATGCCCGCGTTGCCGATCGTCAAGCATTTACATATTTAATGCCAAGGACTTGTTGTGAATTATACCCGAAATGTGGGCAACGCCTACGGGTACACGTTTTATATATTTTCTTATAAAATTTAATTCACCAAGTGTACTTAAACAGATGGACCTAACAATATCTCTCTGAAAGCTCCGTTAAAAGTTGGCACTCTGCAATTTAAGATTGAATGTCCAATCTTGTTCATTATAATATATATGTGTATGTAAAGATAATTTAATAATTAATAATAAATTTTAATATTTTAATTACAAAAAATATACAGGCTTTATTATAAGAGACATAATTGTTTTCTTACAAGTTACAAGTTTGCAAAGTACTGAAGTCACTGAAACTGAATGAGAAATATGTCTCAATGACCTGAGATTTCTCGTATATCATCGCAGAAATATGTACACGCAATGGCACTAGTAGTAATGACGCTGGCAAAGTCATTCTATCGTCAGGCATGACGGAGCGTTTTATCAATTCTATTTACAAATTGACGAGCGCGTCAATCGATCTGTCTGACAATGCGGCTCACAGTCTATCGTTTGTCAATGGGAGTTGTCCCGGTACCACGAATCTCGACAACTTCATCGGGTAAAACGTGCAAAATCCGGTTACATTTATTTTTGGCCATCACTCATTGCCACTCGTTACGCGACAAGTCTGCCCGGATAATCAAAAACTGAAGTTTTAATAGGAATTTTGCTTTTATACGCTTCTATTTTCCTTGAAACATCTGCAAATAAAGCGATTTTAAATTCGTAAAAGAATCTGTCATTTATACTCTAGATACATATTGTGTATAATACACGATTAAAGATTTTTATGAATATTTTTTTAGACAAATTATGTTAGCACTGTATACAAAAAATGTTTTAATTCTTTGTTCTTTTCCAAATTTAAAATAAATCATTATTTTTCTAATAAATAATGTAATTAAAGAATAAATAATGTATTTAAAGAATCTTTAAGAGGATACCTCATATTTTACGCTTGTGCTTTTTTAGAAGAAAAATTTTTATGTCATCGCAACAAGCAAAAATTTTATATAAATTATATTACGATTATTAATATTACGATGTATGTATATGTAAGATCGTTGCAAGTATCTTGGAGATTGTAATATATTTATATTCTAAATATGTTTTAAATTTTTTAATATTTATTATAGAGTTAATAATATAGAGTTAATAATATAATTATATGTGTGGTCTTCTTATATAAATATTGTAAGTAGCATTTTATTGTTCTCACGAATAAAAAAGCATCTATTAAAATGCATTATTTGTGGTGCGTTTTATACACTGTAACATATATATATACACATATATATATATTAATAACACGAAATTACATTATACTTTACTGGTTACTCATGTTGAGCAAGCTTACTGAATCACTTGGAAACATAAAGCTGTATTAGGCTGCGTCATGAAGGTAACGTCGACGCGACGATGGGTCGCCCACGCGCGATGTAACATCGGAGCGGATAATAAATCCGTTGAATTGTGCACAGATGATGCGGAGCATGTGTAAGTGCGTCGGGGATTAGATACGCGGCAACCAGTACAGGTATTTAATGGTCGCTTTGGAGAAAGCTTTAACTAGACTCAGCGTCGTTCTAGTCGGTAGCACGACGTTTCATCTCATCGAAATTACCGTAAATTACCCGTTATGTGCATTTAGATTTGTAAACGAGCGTTGCTCTCCCATGCTTGAACATGAGAAAGTGCTGCGAGGAGAAACTGCGTGTCATTCGCTCGTTTGCGAATTAATACAGCAAGAGAAAGAATAAATGATTGCATCGGG